TTTAAGTCTGCCGACAACCTGTGGGCTTTTCTGTGTGGCCAAAGCCTGTTGAGATAAGCCACAGAGCTCCAGAGACCCACAGGCTGAAGTTATCTACTCCCCACTCATCACCACCTCCTCCTATATCCCCTCATCAGCCAAGTTCATGGTCAGATGAACTTTCTGCAGCTTTCCCTTCCTGTTACTTCCACACCAACAGCCTGAGGGTTTGGGAGGGTGAAGGGGGATGTCTATGCAGGGCTGGAGGCAGTTCTCACCAGCAGCTGCTCCCCGATCCTCAGCTTCTCCACCTGGATCTCGCGGAGGCTCTTCTTCACTAAGGTCTTGGTCATGGCGTTCTGCGCCGTCATCCGGGTGGCTGCGATGAGGTCCTTCACCATCATGACGGACAACACGGGGTCCCACACCCGGAATTGGACATCGGCGCCCATGGAGATGACCGCCCCGTCCTTGGAGGTGACCTGGGGCAGAAGGGAGTCAGGATCTCTTCCCCTTTCCACCCCGTGGCCCAACCCTTGAGCACAGAGCCCAGGAGCAAAGGCATTCACTTCTTCCCCAGCTGGCAACCACCTCTAGATGTCTTTATTAAGAGGGTTGTTAGAAATACAACCAGCCCAAATGATGAATTTTGGGCTAGTCTGAGCGGTGAGGCCAGTTTCCAGCACAAGGCTGTTATTGAAAGACATCTGAGAAAGGTAGGGATTGCTTTTGAGATGTCTCCAGCCAGGATCGTGCATTGAACGAGGCGTGCAAATCAAGAGGAGCTTTTCAACCGCAGGCAGGTGAGGACTCTGGGTGCACAGCACCAGCCACAACCCCCCTCGCCTCGCCATGAGGATGGAGGAACTCAAAGTTGGGTCCATGCACAGCACCGATGGTCAGACCACCCCCAAATCCACCCGCTCTGGGTATTTTAGAGATGTCTCTTCATCCTGCCCTGAGGTCCAAAGCAACTCACCTTGCAGGGGGGCACGTTGAAGGCCCTCGTCCTCAGATCCACGCGCTGCCAGTGATCGATAAAAGGCAGCAGCAAGACCATGCCGGGTCCTTGCGGCGCCCGGATGCGGCCCAGGCGGAAGATGATCATTCGCTCATAGGCGGGCACGATCTGGAATGGGGAAGTTTAGAAGAGGGCAGAAGCAAAACCTTGGCTCCTGCGGTGGCAGGAGCGATGGAAGCAGGGGCAGATGGGAACGGTCCTCCCCCCCCCCGGCATGGAGGATGGGTTGCCATCCCCCTCCTCGCCTGCTTCCCTCCCTTACCTTCAAGGCAAACCATCCTGAGATGGGGAAGGTGACAACCATCAGCAAGAAGACCAAGGAGGTGATAATCCCATGGCAGATCCAGGACAACCAACCCTGGGAGGAGTCTGCAGGGGAATGAAACGGGGTAAGTACCTGCTCCAAATCCCCCTTCCCTGTCTGGAAACCCCCATGCAAGCCTTCTCCCCCTCCCCATGCACCCCAGTATGGGGGGCACCCAGCCAGCGCGACACCCCGCAGCGTAGGTGGCAAAAGAGGGGAAGGCAGCATCTCCCCTTTAAGGTGGGGACTCACCCGCAGCATTCCCAGCCGGCCCCAGAGGATCTTGCTTGGATCCGAAGGAGAAGAAGCCCTTCTGGGCACCGTAGAGCCCGATGCTGGACTGCTGGAAGCGATCAAAGTCTCCCAAGGGAAGAGCCTGGTATCCTGATCGGCTGAACATGGTGCTGGTGCTTCACACGGGACCCTCTAAGCCCGGTTCCCCGCCGCCATGGCTTCTGCTTGTCCCCAGCCCGATCCAACCTCCTTGCCCTGACGCGGAGAGACGCCGGAGAAGAGCGGGTGAGCCCTGCCGTTTTCACAGCGGATGCTCGCTGGAAGAAATCAAATCCTTCAGGGGGTTTTTCCTCGCCGGGGTCTCACCCAGCTTGGGGTCGGGGGGGGGCTTCACATCTTCCCGGCGACCCTCTGGGGAAGAACCTAGA